CTACTCACTGTTATCACTCTTTTCACCTCTTTCACTCTCTACCCTCTCATCATCATTATTATCATCATCTCTACTTCTTCTACTACTCTCTTTCACTCTGTATCATCTCTATCACTATTATCAGATTAATCAGAGCTGTACAGATTACAGAGTCAGCTATTCAATCTTATTCATGAATTCAAAAAGATGTATATGACATCATATAAGATTTTATTACAGAGTATTTAGCAGTATATACTATAAATACAGAGATCAAAATATGATAGAGATAGTAAGAGAGAAGTAGAGATAGTGAAAGTAATAGAAGAGACTGTAGAGTAGTAGAGATAATAATGATAATAGAGAGGCTAGAGAGTGAAAAAGATGACAGAGAGAGATGATAGAGATGATAGAAGTGAGAGAGATAATAGAGATGATAAGAGAGAAGTAGAATGATAAGATGAGAATAGAGATAGAGAGTGAAAGTGATAGAGAGTGCTGTGAGACAGTAGAGGCAGTGATGATGATAGAGAGAGTAGAGGTGGTAGAGGTGGTAGAGGTGGTAAGAGTGAGTGATAAGATGAGGATAGAGGTATGAAGTGGAAGTGATAGAGGGTGTTACGGGGCGTTAGAGGCGGTGGTGATGGTAGAGAGTAGATAGAGTGGTGCAATTGGCAGGCGCCACTACATATCCATGGATTTTTGATGAGGTGCATGTGATGTCACGTGAGGTCACGTTACAGGGCATTTTACTCGGAAAAGTTGGTTTTTCTATAATATATAGAGAGATTACCACATCTTCCCCTCTAAATGGCCTATGGCCAGCCCTGAGTTGCCCCACAAAGACCCTTCTATCCCCTAGGGCCCAGGATTTGCCCACGTACAAAAGGCAAGCCTAACCGAGGGTCCGACCAGAGGTTGCCGGTGAGCGGTAGCTTACAAACCATCTAGGCCCCGGCTACCTAGCGGGTGGTGCGGGCTTTGCCGATTATTGAGCCAATCGGGAGATTCCTCAGACTGGTGGGTGGCAGGAGCCATCCATGGCATGGCATGTATCAGCCGCGTCCTATCATGCATGTCTCTCTACGGAGTAGGCAGTCTCCACCGACCGAGAAGTAGTTAACGCGGGTCGTACTATGTAATTGGACAGCCGTGAGGGCCTTCGGAATTAACAGGATCGGCTGTGACAGTACAGTACGGAGCATCCGAGCTACGGACTGTAGCTTAGTGCGCAGACAGGCCGGGATATTACTCCCGGCCCCACCCACTATCCATCTATGATAGCTTGGAACTTAAACTGCGTCAGGTTTCAACAAGTGCCGGGAACGTGAAGCAAGAGCCATGGCGCAAAAAGAAATATTCTTCTTGGCTCATGGTAAATTCATGTCGTGTGCTTATCCTCTCCCCTTTCATACCACTTGTTTCCTCATCGTGTTTTTTTACTTCTCTCTTCATGTTAGCAAACACACACG